GAGATATACAAAAAGGAACCATGGCATATGTGTTTTTTAACACACACAGTCTCTAAAGCAATGAAGATACTGTTCCTTTTATTGCTTCAGAATGGGGCCATGAGGGCAAAGGGAAAGTACAAGATAATAAGTATAAGTTATAATTCTGACTACATTTTAAATTAGTATTTAAAATAATTTATTCATTTATTTCAACCTAATTGAAAATGAACATCAAATGACCAGTTTCAGGAATGAGTTTCCCTTCCTCCCTGGAAATCATCAGAGTGACTATAAAAGGTATCAGGGTCCAACTATCAGATTTTAAAAGATCCTTTTAAGCACATTTTCAGGGGTGCCGGACTGGCTCAGTCAGTTGAGCATCCAACTTCGGCTGGGGTCATGAGCTCCAGGTCCTGGGATTGAGCTCCTGTCCTACACTCAGCAGGTAGTCTGCTTGAGGATTCTTTTTTCCCTCCCTCTACCCTTAGGTGCCACCACCCCCTACTCTCTCTCTAAAATAAATGGATAGATTTAAGGTGGGAGGGAGGAACATTTTCATAAACTGCACGGTTCTAGAATGGACTCAGGAAACTGAGCGTTTAGTTCGGATGGGCCCAAACAAACTATAAAAACTAAAATTCAATAGCATGGATAAAGTGACATTCTTTGGGGACTAGAAGTACAACAACAACAAAAAAACAATCTGTCAGTGTCTTCTTCAGGACTCTTTTCCTCAATTACATTATAAGATTTAAAGTTTTAAAAAATGTGCTTGTAGGTATGTGTGTAGATGTTTCAATTAAGTTTCATTATTTCAACAGTGAGTTAATCCACTGTGCTCTCAAGGTAGAGTTCAGTTAGACCAAGTACATTTAGGTGTTCTTTGGAAGGTGATAACACTCTATAGCATTACTATGTCATAGTTACATCCCGAATGCCTTAGTCAGCAAGGCACGCCCATGTTCAGGGGCCAAAGCAGGAGCTGCACTTGCAGAGGGGGTGACCAGCAGGCTGGGCTGAAGAAAGCACTAGAGTTTCAGGCCTGCACCTTAGGACTGGTCACTCCACAGTCTCTATCAGCTATAAAAAGGGAAGAATTTTTTAGGAAGCTAAGCAACGGGAAATCATTTCTTTTCCACTAGTCCTTAGCTCTTATGTATTATCATCACTTGCCTCATGCCAAAGACCAAGACTAGAAACGGCCAAATGAACTCTGCTGACACCTGCCAAAATGGGCAGTTGCCCACATGAAAAGCCCCCACAGAGAGAGAGAACAGAAATCGCAGGAGACCAGTTACTGCAAGGGAGGTTATCGGCCCACTCCTCTTTTTTCTTTTCCGTAAGTCTAAATACTAAATCACAATAGCATTTGAGAATTTGAGATGGACACAGGTATATTTGGTAATTTGTTCAATTAATAAGAAAAGACCATTTAAAAAGTATAGTCTTAAAAGCCATCATAAAATAGTGATTTTTCCTCCATCAATGGGAAAAAGACCCATGAAAATTAATTCAATAAGCAGTATCAGGAAAAGCGGGATTAGCTAACTATGTACAAAAACAAAGGAATAAATAAATAAATCTGGGCTGCTATTCTATTCCTTGCACCAAAATAACTCTAGACAATGAAACCATAAAAGAAATACTAAAAAATGAGAAAAAAAAATTTTATGACTGGGTAAAAGCTTCTGAAGAAAACCCTGAAGCCATAAAATACAAATCTGATCAATCCAACCAAGCAAAACTTAAAATTTGCACATGGTGTAAATTATACAAAGCCAAAAACAAATAGTAACACATGATAGAAAAATGACTAATTCCCTTAATAAAGAGAGTATTCACAAATCAAGAGGAGAAAAGCCAAAGTACACCAGAAATATGAGCAAACACAATTTGCAGAAAAAAAAAAAAGGCCTAAAATATACATTAAAATGTTAAACTACAAAGAAAATACATGAAGTAAGACCATAGGACACAGATTTTCACTTAGATTGTCGAAGAACAAAATGTTGGTTAGGATATATAAGAAAATAAGAGCAATTATATTGCTATAGTATCAGATTGGTAAAATCTGTTTGGAGGGTAATTGTGCATAACTCTTTGACCTAGCAATTCTCTCTTCAGAGTGCATTCTATAGATGCACATAGACATAATGATGTAGCTATAGAAAAGGACACTTCTCAGCACCATGGTTTACAGTAGCAAAATTGCAAGTAGCCAAATTGACCGAAGTGAAGTCTGAAATAACTGGTACTCCAAACAACACAAGACTGGTGCAACCATAAGAAAGAGGCAGATCCAAGATTCATCGTTTTAAAGAGAAATCAAGGTGAATGGTGTATGTATTTATGGAAAAAACAGGGTAGCATGGGGAATTACACTCAATGTACATCAGAACAATGGTTTTCACCGTGTGATTCTGCGGACCAGCTGCAGCAGCATCTGGAGGCTCTCAGGAATTTAAATTACTGGGGCCCACTCAGACCTACTAATGTGGAACCCCTGGGAGAAAAGTCTAGCATCTGTGCTTTCAGATGCCTTCTAGGTAATTCTGATGCATTCTCAAGTTGAGGAACTGCTGGGCTGGAGTATCTTTCAAGATACCCAGAACACTGGTTAACAGTTGTTACATCTGGTGATTGGAGAGAGACTTTTCACTTTGGTATTTTGGGATTTGCCCACATACATATGTATTACCTATTTTACATAAAAAATTGCCAAAACCTGCCACTTTGATCCAAAATGGATAAGAAATGAGCTCAGTGTTTCTAGAAAACTGAGCTATGAGTTCTGATTTATGGCATGAGCCTTAAGAGAAAAAAACAATAGTCTACTTTAGACCAAGATTTCAATGTGGAGGATAAATCATATCTATAAATAACCATGTATGGTTTGGCACAGTGGAGCCTAAGTCTGATGAAAATGAACTTGTTATTTATTGAAGTAAGTTCTTAAAAAGAAGAAAAACCCTTTTTAGAGGTTTTATTAGAATGAGGCAGTTTACTCTTATATAGAGAGTAACAATTAAAAACCCAGAATAAAGGCCAAGACAAAGAGAAAAATTGAACATTTTTTTTTAAAAAAGCACAAAAACCCTACATACTAAAATTGTACACATCAAGTATTGGTCCAATCTTATATCAATCTATTTACATTAAACAGCACCATGGTTTTCTCACCCAGGTTAGTTAAACATGCCCAGAAAATCGTTATGCAAAGTATATGTACCTTTAAAACAAAATTCTTAGAGAGCTCAAATTCTACACAAACAAAAAAAACCTTCTTAGCTACCATAGATTATTGATGATATCACCCAATTCAACTTAGGAAAAATAGGTTTGAACGCTTTTCCAGTTGTCAAACTTTGAGAACTGTTGCTATTCCATGTAGCACACAAGTAACAAACTCTTTGAAGACAGGGGCATTATGTTCAAACACCCTCAAAGCCCCACCTTCAAATATAAAAATACTCCTTTGGAATTACCATTGCTGTCGTCTCTTGAATTTAGATTCAATTATCAACAACCCTAAATTGAATATAGCCACAATCTTTAAAATGATTGCATAAAGGAAAGGAAGTAGTTAAAGCTCTCAGAAACAGGGTAGGTTATAATTATAGATATTATATCTAATCAGGCTATAGTAAATTTAATACCATTTTAAACTTTACATTTAAACTAATTAGCAGTTTCATTTTGCCATTAAAATTAATAGTGCTTCACATCCAAATAGGCGTGGAGGTCTGATTATTTCCCAACTGAGAGCAGTGTACGTACCTTCTTGCCTCTACTTTGCCATATCACAGTCTTGGGGCCACAGTGATTATGTGATAGTCCCCCTCTTCTTTCTGGAACTAACTTTTCAAAGGCCCCAAATTAAATATAACCCTTGGCAGCTTTATTCCAATATAGTGCGAGAGAATCAGGTGCTCTCACCAGATTTTTCAGTCCTCTCATCTAAACTGCAGATGGCTCTTCATTTGACTTTTTGCTAGGAAAGACGAGAGAGGAAAACTGTCATCCACCACAAGTAGAGGTAACAGTGAACTGGAAAGTTAACGTATAAAGCAATGTTTCGTCATTTGGTGTCATTGCTGATGTTTAAGTGATGTCCATACACGTACCAGTGAATTAGGAGTTGATATTTTCTCTAAAAGACCGAAAATAGGCACAGTTCTCCCAGGCACAGATACAACTGGTTTTCCTTAAAACCTTCCTGCAAACTGGGAGGAAGAGAAAATTGACTGTGTTATCTTATAGTGTGAATATCTGTCCTTGATTCCTTGCATTCCCTGGCCCAGTGCATTTGGGGGCATGCGCTGAAAAGTCCCAAGCAGAGTAGGTAGATTGATTAAAGTATAATATAGTAGTGACCCTCTAAGCCTGGATATAAAAACAGCTTTGTTATACAGACATTTCAAAATATCTATGCAGCAAAGGGACAAGAGAATTTTCAACTGAGTATCAGCTGAAAATCAGAGATCTGACTGCACTGACTAAATTATTGCCTAGTGTTCCAGAAGGGTACCTGCCACCAATGTGTTGGAAGGCATCAAAATTTAGTGTGAATGTAAATAAGGAGCTCAAGATACAGGGATGGGGAAAGCAATACTGAAACACAATTTGCCAGTCTCTACTCTTTTATGGCTAAATATTAATTGAGCAAAGAATTCAGACCAGATAGAAGTGAACCTCAAATACTGCTCTTTTCAGTTTCCATTTTAAAAAGCTCATTTTATAACTGTTATTGATGTTTTTTGGGAAAAAAAAATAATACATATACATATATATATACACACACACACAAACATATTTTATATATATATATATATATATATATATGTATTTTAATCTGTATTCACAAGGTGCTTGGTGCTGTTCTTCATGGACATAACATTCTATTTACAGTCCAAATCATTTAAATATAGTCATTACATTGTTGGGTGTTTTAAAATAAATGGTTATCTATTTTTTTAACTGCCTTTCAAATTAGAAACTAATTACATGAGTCTCAAAGGCTGGCTCTTTGTGTTTTATTAATAATTTTTGTTGGTCTCCATCACAGATGGAAGTTTTCACTGGTAATTCCTCAGAACTAAATCCATTCATACGGAATTCAGAGCAGTGAAAATAAATTTCACGCCATAGAGTAGGAAATGACAACGACAACAATAAAAAGGAGCGGGCGGGATCTTGGGACCAGCCAATAGGACCAATCAGTTCTCAACTGGTGTTGGGTTTTGCAAAGGCTGGCTCATTATAACTTGTACAACATAGTCCTTTGGGATCTTCAGCTCTTCCAGCTTCATTTTGTCGGTAAGAGGTCTGCCAGAAAAGAACCATCGCTGGCTACTCGGTTCCACGCCTTCTGCTGCATGTAGCCTCCTCTTCATGTGGTATACAGTGTCTGTGCTGCGGACCACAAGTTTGAGGTCTTTGCCTGTGGAAAGGCGCAAACGGAGCTGACATTCATATCCAGAATTAGGCGGTGGCTCAGGAATATCCAGAGTCTCTATGTCGCTCTTTTCCTCTATCATGTTGATTGGTGGTGCCAGGCAGTAGACTGGAAGCTGATATCGGTTGCCCAGTTCATCATAGCACTCTGTGAGTGCACCTTCAGAAACAGAAGATACAGAGTTTCATCGAAATGAATACATTTTTATTTACACTTTGCAAAATGCTCAAACCCCTTGCCAGCTCACCACTTTAGAGAAAAAAATATTAAGGCCAATCATTGCCAGCTGCTTAGCAATGATCAGTGTCAAGGTCCATAACCAATTATTTGAGGGTTTATCTAATTTTACCTTAGCCAGGATGCCAGCTCCTTTCCCTCACCTTTTCAAAGTCATTTCATATGACATTCACACTTTGATTAAATGATAAAAAGAAAGCACAAAAAAATTCAAATTTACTAATATTATTAATGCTTGCACAAATTAAGGGATATTCAAATTGCATTGGGATATTTTTTTAAAGAAATGAGTCAGTAACTTTAACAACCACCACAAAAAACAGATCCCTAGCTCAATTCACCACAACACAGTGTTCCAGAGCAGTTTCCTTAGTGCCTCGACTTCTTACACACTTGGCCAAAAGTCCTTCGTCCAAAAGGACCACAAACTGTAGATGACAAGCCTACCAGCTCCTCTGGCTTCTGGCTCATAGATGAATCTCATTAGCACAATCACCACAGAAATGACTGAGGGGTTGTATTTAACCTCAATTAGTCAATCTGTTACAGAGAAGCCATGGGTTAAAAAGGAAGAATGAAAGGGGTATGAAGTTTATAACCAGATAGCTCAGGGAAAAGTAAAAAGCATTCATGGCTTAAAAGAAGGTATTAATGGCTGTTGAGTTTTTTTGTTGTTGTTGCTTTGTTTATTTATTTATTTATTTATTATTTTTTAAAGATTTTATTTATTTATTTGAGAGAGAGACAGTGAGAGAGAGCATGAATGAGGAGAAGGGCAGAGAGAGAAGCAGACTCCCCGCGGAGCTGGGAGCCCGATGCGGGACTCAATCCTGGGACTCCGGGATCATGACCTGGGCCGAAGGCAGTTGTCCAACCAACTGAGCCACCCAGGCGTCCCTGCTTTGTTTTTTTATAAAGCATAAACTGCATTATAATCCCCAGGACTTTCCTTAGGAAGCTTGAAAGCACACTTAATGAATGCTTTCTTACAAGGTTGTTCATATCACGTCCTTTGCTCAACCTGGAACATTAATGTCAGCTGATTGATAAAAAATAAAAACATCTACCATATTCAAAACACTCATATATAATGAGTATATAGGGTTGGGACAATGAGAAATATTATCAATGAACCAATGAGTTAATGAGCTGATCTTTGTTGTCACTATCAATAGGCTGAAAATACAAAGCACCCAAAATGAGACTGGAACAGTCACCAGTCCAGCATGGACTCGATCCGTCTGTCTTCTAAATTACATAAGATGGGTTGGGGTCAGAATTCAGTCACCAAGCATAACACACGACTCTCCCCTTTCCTCTGTGTTTAAAGATACCGTACAGCCTCTGTGCTATTCACTAATTAATCCAAATGCTAGGACATTGCAGAAACAGATATACTTTAAGCACAGTTGTGATCACCAGTAGTACCCTAACAAGCAAGCGTCATGCTGAAGTACCAATGCTATTTATAAATAGGGGTATAGTCAGTTGTACTAACTTCACTATTTATATAGCTTAGTCCTGAGACAAAGAAACCTACACAAGTGTCTGACCCCAACTAGTGTCTTCCAGATGGGCTGGCCACCAGGAGAACCAGGAAAGAGAACGTGCAGAGTTCACTAAAGACCATCACCTCCATTAAGAAAACACCTCAGGTAGATATCCCACTGACCCACTGATAGTATGGTCAGCCTGATAAGTACAAGAGCGACATTCTGGCAATGTTCTTCTAGAAAAACTTTCTTTTAGAGAAGCACCATTCTAAACCATTATCTCTGAAATTTGTAGACCAAGATGAAACTCCCAGCCTTGTTATTAACCAGCTATGCAACCTTGAGCGATATTCTTTTTAACCTGAAATACCCTTCTTAATTAGCAAAATGAGGCAGAAAACCTCTAAAGTGGTTTCCAGGTTTGCATATTCTTCTTCACCTGCAGTACCATGACAGATATAAAATAACAGGACTGTAAACAAAAGCAGTCAAACTGCAAGCAGAATGATGTCTGGACTGAAAGCTTACATTTGTAGCCTCTCTAGAAAAACTAGAGATGTCAGAGCAGCTTTTATGAGTGTGCTACAACATGAGTGTATGTCAATCTTGAAACAAACATACAATCTAATAGGTACTTTGGGTCCTGAAGCAGTCTTTCTAAAAAAAAAACTTTCTAAAAAAAAAATTTCAGTCATCATCTGCCAGTTCATTCATTACTTCCTTTTTTTTTTTTTTAAGATAATACCCTAAAGGAAGAGATTTTATTTATTTTTTTAAGTATACTGTACCCACCAATATGGGGCTCACATTCAAGATCCTGAGATCAGTTAGCCACGCCTCCCTGGAAAGCAGTCTGTTCCCTTCTGTCCTTCAGCCCAGCAAGTTAGAAATTCAGTTTTCAGATCTCAAATGGGTGAGGATAAAAATTCCATGGAAGAGGTGCCAGTAGATGGCATATTTTCTTACTCCAGCTCAGGAAGTGCTCATGCCTGTGATGCTGGAAATCAGCTACCCAGACTTCGTATTGCTTGGCCCTCATACTTTAATATTTTGGGAAAAGGTAACTTGCATTTTATTTAACATGGAGTTTTCTGGCTTATTTACTCTTTTCCTCACTTCTGTCAAATTATAATTTGAGTTCTAAACATGCTCTGAATACCTAAATAGAGGAAAAGTCCAGACCATGATGTCAGATAGGATTTAGTAACATTTTTAAGCTACACTTTTAGGGGTTACTCTCTCCCCAAATTAAATATCTGGGATCATAAATTATCAATAAAAACAAACTTTGTTTACAATATAGCCCACAGTTGACTATTACCCCAGAATTACCTACTCAGAGCAGAATGACTCCTCTGTTGGCCCAGATTCTTTTGAACAATATACTCCCAATTCTCCACCATCTACTAGCCCCGTATCTCTTTAGTAAAGACAAAACTGCCCTGCTAATAGTGACCTCTAAACACACAACCTCTGTGGGACTTCATGAGGGCCACTCCACATATTCCACAGAGTTGCTGCAGAAACATTTACTAAACACCTGGAAGAGTGTAAGCCACATCACTAGCTCTGGGGAGGAAAGGTTACAAGAGAGACAACATTTTTCTTGATCCCCAGAAACTTCTAACTGAGGTAAGCAGATATGGCATACCCACCAGAGATTTTAAGTACAAATTAATACACTGAAAATCAACCAAATGCTGAGACATTACACAACAGATGAGTGACTAACACTGGTAGAGCAAAAAAGGAGTCATTCTGTGGAAATAGTGTGTTCTGGCCATGACACAGAATAGAAATAAAGGGCATCTCAAGAAATAGCAATAACATGGGAACAAGAATTAGTACAAGGTAAATAGGAAATAGCAAGTGGTTTTGCTGAGATGAATAGAGAATCGATGATGTGAAACTACTAGATTGACAGCAATAGTGACAACCTGACAGAAGGTTCGGGGGGTTAGATGTCCTACTACAGGTGGCTGATACAGTACATGAGTCATTCACCTAACAAATACTGAATGCCTGTTACATGCCAAGCAATGTTCCAGGTGAACAAGACAAAGCCTGGAGATTATTTTACCATTTGCATAAAGGGAGAATGATTGGAATAAAAAATCAGTCAAAATGATTGCCTGACTACAGCAACAGAAATGGATCTGAGACAATCAGACCTAAATGATAGGTTATATGATGGGAAACAAAAAGGAAAGAATCACCTAAACCGGAAATGAGAGTGAGAGAATTTAGGGTTAGAAGCTTTTTTGCTTAGTTTTTAACTGCTTCAAGTTCAGTGAGATACTTCAACTAAATTATGGGCAGGTAACTGAAAAAGTGTATCAGGAAAAGGGTAAAAGCAGCTTGTAGAGTAATAATCTCAAACATACAAGTCTGAACATACAAGCAAACATGTAAGAGTGCTTCCTAGTTCCGGATCTGAGCACTTCGAATACACTGACATTTAATCCTCACAACAGCCCTTTATGGTCAATCTATTAACACTCATTTTGCACATGAGGAAAGTGAAGCAGAGAGAAAGAACTTGTCCAGGGTTACATACAATAAGTGACAGACTGAAGTAACTGGGATCCCTGAGGGCTTGGTTCCTGGGTTAGTGATACGGTGAATGGGGGGGGGGAGGGCACAGGACAAATATTAGAGGGGTGAAAAGCCAAACATGAATCACAGGGAGTAAGAACCCAATGGTCTAGGGATGCCCGGGTGGCTCATTATGTTAAGTGTCTGCCTTCAGCTTAGGTCATGGTCCCAGAGTCCTGGGATCGAGCCCTGCGTCAGGCTTCCTCGCTCAGGAGGAAGCTTGCTTCTCGCTCTGCCTGCTCTGCCTGCTCTACCTGCCACGCTCCCTGCTTGTGCTCGCTCTCTCTGAGAAATAAATAAAATCTTAAAAAAAAAAAGTCAGCCTTAAAAAAAAAAAAAAAAAAAGTCAGCAGTCTAAATACAGTCCACCAACACATAAGGAACTGGAAGATGAGGCAAAAGAAAATGGCAACTAAGTTTCAGTCCTGTGAGGCCACCAAATATAGTGACAAAACGGACATATTACTGTCACTATCTCATCTGCCGTATTTGAGAGGAATATGTGAATAACAGGGCAGAGTTAGAAGATGGGAGAGTTTTTTTCTAAAAGCCTGTGTGTTCAAACACAAGAGGGAAAGAACCACTTTAAAAGTTGATAATGTAGGGGCACCTGGGTGGCTTAGTTGGTTAAACCTCCAACTGCTCATTTTGGCTCAGGGCATGATCTCAGGGTGGTGAGACTGAGTCCCACACAGGGCTGCACTAGGTGTGGAGCCTCCTTAAGATTCTTTCTCCCTCTCCCTCTGCACCCCCACCCCCCTGCCCTCATGTGCTCTCTTTAAAAAAGTTGATAATGTAGGCATTTTTCTAAGTTTCTTCCTTTTTCTTTCCTTT